TGGCTCACGGCCCCTGTGGCGAGGAATTCAAGACTGCATTCAGCTGCTTCGTCTACTCTTCCGAGGAGCCCAAGGGCATGGACTGCATTGACAAGTTTCAGTACGTGGCGGCAATATATCTCTGATTTTCTTCCCTTTATTTTCTCCTTTTTGTTCCTTTTTTTCTTTTTTTTCTGTGGGATGTTCCACCAAACGTACCTGACGTAAATCACAGAGGCATGCAAGAGTGCTTCCGGCAGTATCCCGATATTTACGGCGCCGAATTAGCTGATGACGAGGAGACCGATGAGCTGGCTCCCGAGAGCGAACAGACTCCGAAGCAAGGCCTGCGTCTAGAAGAACAAGACAAGCAAAAGGGCCCCGAAACGAATCAAGCTACCGACAAAGAAAACACCTCGGATCCCTCCAAGTCTGACACAGCAAAGACGGAAAAACTGGAAGAGGTCCGTCCAGTCGCCAGCGATGGTGCACCAAAGGCTTAGGAGGATGCTAGCGACGCGGCCAAGCGATGGCACGCATGAGAAAATAGCCTGAAAAGAAGGAATGACAAGGAATAAACCATCAGATGGTGTGTTTTTCTGTGGGGGAAAATAAAGAGGGAGGAAGCGCCAAACCACACCAGGTTCAGCCTGGAAAAAGAGACAGAGAGTTACATCGCGCAGATAAGCGAGTATAGACCAGATCTTGGTCCGTGTATAATTCAGCATCCTGCATGTTTTTGTACAATATCACACACTATATGAGAAGGAAGCCGGCTTGTGCGACAAGAGGGTCATGGAACATACCTATGTTCCATGACCCTCTAGGTAGACAACAATACATCAACAGAGATGTACCACGCAGTACCAAAAATAATCATTCTTACACACCCAAAATCGCACGTGGGCCATGACTGAGCATTGGCGAGAGCTGACAGCATATCGACTGCGAATGTAATCATAATTAAAGGTTTAGTCATAATTCCATGACACGGGCGCTGAATTGTACAAGGACATTGCAGTAGAGTGACCATCAGGGAGCAGAGAGTCGAGGGGGGAAACGAGGGGGGAAACGAGGGGGCAAAACAATTCCGTTACCAGCCAACGCCACCAAGAAAAATACGATGAAAAGAACCTAAGAACCACCCTTCTTGCCCTTGTACAAATATCGTCCAAAGACGGCTTCGGCGGCACCGACACCGGCCATGATACCGAGACCGACCCCCGCGTTCTTCCAGTTTAAGTTGCCTTTCTCGTACAGTCCCCATGCTCTGTAACCCAAGTAGGAGCTGACGCCAATAACGGCGGCAAAGTTGGTAATGGCCAGCGCGCCGGCACTGCCGTCCGACAAGCTGGAGAATTGCTGGACGAGCCAAGAGTCCGTCTGGCGCGCCTTCTTGGCGGCCTGCTTCTTGGCGTTCTGAGCCTTGGCCTTGGCGGCTTCGGCGTCGCGCTCCAGTTGCTCGGCTTGGGATTCCGTGTGCTCTAGATAATCGGATGGGGCGCTGCGCACGCCCACGAGGGATGCATTGGACGGGGTCTCGTTGTTGACCAGCTCCACGGGCTGAGGGGCAGCAGCCTTGAGAGGATTCAATCTTGTTAATACAACGCAGTGGCTACGCGCCATCACACAAGACACCGATTCAGGATAATGGCTGGGGGAATAAGGCGCTGTTTTCTCTGACGGAAAAGGCGCGGTTGTGCTGTTGTGATGGTGGTGGTAGTGGTGGTGATGCTCAACTCACCTCCTCGGGGGTCTGTTTGGGACCGCTGGCAGCTACGTCGGCGTAAGACACTGCATCGCGAGACGATTAGCTTGGAGTGTGCACTTGTGGTGTCTGGTGGCTACCACAGAGAGATCTTTGTCGGGGACGGGACAACTAACTGATTGTTATGTTGAGCTTGCAAGAGAGAGTCTTCTGGGAGGACGTTGTATGAGAATGTTCTGATACACAAAGTTGGGGGAAAAAAGGCTTTGGGATCTGGAATTTGGAAGATGGGGGTTGCTGGCTGCCCGCGATGGGAGAGAAGTGTGGGTTTGCAAGTCGGAAGGGAAAATAGTCGTGGGTGGGCTGATTTGGCCATCCCATTCCAATCTTCCTGGACGCCTCGTTTCCGGCAGGTTTCTGACCGCTTCTGACTGCAAAACCTGCGGAAAAGCTGGTTGCGCACGCACGCCGACACGAGCGATGGATGACGTATCGACCGACTGTCTGGACGACTCCAGCTGGCCGGCTGCGCATTGGGGAGCTCGCACAGCTAAGCTGGCTGGGGGGGCAGCTGGCTGGGGTGCAGCTGCAGCTGTCGACCCACATGCGCCGGCCGGCCGCCCCCACCAAACAGGCTGGTCCAGCAACCCTGGGCGGTGCATGTGAAAACATCAGGCAGACTGGACCAGACGACTAGACTTGCACTCATTCATAATCTGATAAACCGCTGGCATCTTGCGTTCCCTACAGTTTCTTTTTTATTTTTTCTTCTTTTTTTTTTCGTAATCTGGCTAGCTACCCACTCGTCTGCCCACGAGGAAATATGCCTTGCTCACGTGCGATACGTCATCATCAGTGGGCCATGTGCATGTGGGTTGTCCCACCAGGGAAACCACCAGGCTCTTTCTCAACTAGGGCAGTCTGAAGCCTCAACTGCAGTCCATTGATATCTGACTCGGGGATCCGTCGACGAATCCACTCATCGCGCCGTGAACGAAACGCCTCGCTGAACAGCCACGCATAGTTTTGGTCGATACACGTTACCCTACTGCATGCAATGCACGGATGCGGCACGAATCATGGTCGACAAAAGAGTTGGTATATCTTTTTACATTCTTTGCCACGTCCTGTTTTTTTCGTTTTTTTTCCTTTCGGTTGGAAGGTTTAGAAGAGTTTGGGAGATAGAAAGTACTGTATATTTCAAAATGAACAGTGCGGTAAATAAGTACATGTCTTTCGCTAAGCGCAAAGAGAGGACAGGAGAAGAGAGGGCAGGAGAAGAGAGGGCAGGAGAAGAGAGGGCAGGAGAAGAGAGGGAATCGCTTAACATGACAAAAAGAAGAAGAAGAAACGACGAAAAAAAGAGAGAGAAAAAGCATGATCCTCCCTGAGAATCTGGGTCCAACTCCCTAGACTAACAACGCCAAGCTATCACGGGTATCACGATTTTCCAAAATCACTCGTCTTTCACCGCTCGAGTCCGAGGGATATGCAATCCCATCCCCATACAGGAACCAATGTTTCGCGCGTCGATGCATTGCTCAAGAGGGGGCGGGGTGGAATGGAGAACAAAGAAAGAAGGAAAAGAAATATCCTTTTCTCTTGCCAAAGCTTTCTAATAGTATGCCGACGTCACGCCAATTCTCGGAATGCATCGTCGAGTTTCTTGATCCAATGCTGCTTTACGCGCCATGGCATCTTGCAGTAAATCAACGCCTTGCTCTCGTGGATCAAGACATTCTCTGCAATCTTGATCTGCAGATCCATACTTTCGTCGGCAAAGTCCCTGAAAAACTGGTCCAGCGCCAATTCGCACCACCTCGATACGGGAGAGGGCCGTACTGTCTCACTGGTCAGTCCGCCGCTGCCGACTTCCACTGTTCCTTGAGAAGGACTTTGCGTCATTGCTATTGCGGACGGAGCACCATGCGGCGGTGAATGAGACCTGATAGCGTGGCAGAGCACATCGTTTGCAGTAGCGAGAATGGGAGAGACTGAGTTGCCGACAACAGAGGTTCGTTGCCTTTTCTCTGGCGATTCTACAGACAGCAGAGGCGCACCGGTATACGTGACCAGAGGAGGCGACGTCATGCCGAAAACTTCATCGCCTCGAGATATCGATAGTGCTCGTTTTTTTGCTTGAAGGAGGGGCTCATCGGGAGGCGTCAGAGCGGACTGCTGTAGGGGTGCAGTCCGAGGGGGGATTGTCGTCGATGTCGGCTTGGGCTGCAGTCCTCCCAAGACCGTGCCCGGAGCGGTCGGCGTCAGACTTGAAGACGAACGCGCCGGGCCGGGGCTGTCCTGGCTTGTGGGAATATTCAAAGATTCGGGTGGTAACTGTAAGACGCTGGGTTCTGGCATCTCCGACTCGTCTGCTGGCAGTCCGTCGGTCCTCCTCCGCGGTTTCATGATTCTTTTCGGAGCCCCGCCAGACCCAATCACATCGGGATACAATGTTTCCATATATTCTTCGTGATCGAACGGTCGGCCTCGGAGGGCTCGTGAAAGGGGCTCTCTCTGTCTCATACCCGCGTCAGTATCGCTTCTCCTGCTCTCTTATTTTCATGTTCCCTTTCCCCTACCCGTTCCCTTGGTTCTTTCAGATATTCTTTCTCAAGGCATCTGGCCAGGTGTGTCCATGTCGACACGAAGCCCACTCACCTCTATATGCGCCTTCCAAGCATCTTCAGTGGCAGTTACAGTCTTGGAGACTGGATTGTACGCAAAGTCTGGATCCTCGCGCAGACCACGCCAGAGTCGGAATCGTTTCCGCGCATTGTCGCTCTTGTTGATGAGATGACTCTTTGCGGGATATGCGCCGTGGCACTCCTGCAGGGCTTGCGCGGCGCGCTCCCACGCCTCAGCTTTGAAGCTGCTGTTTTCTCGCAAACCGAGCTGGACGCTGGCGCAAAGGCTGCGAAAAAATGTGGTCTCGTATGCGGGTGTCCAGCTGAATCGCGGAGCGCGACGATCGCGATCGACACGAGTGGAAGACCCTTGCCCATCGGGGCCCAGCATGTCGGTGTCGTCTTCAGACATGGCGCGTGGACGGAGACGATGCCTCGAGATTCGATCCTATTATTCGGCGCTGTGCCAATAAATCCCGGCAAAGGAATCCAGTGATCAGCAACCACGGTTGCGACGGTATACGCTGCGTGCGACTGGACGGCCTGCAAGCTTTGGGGTTGCGCCTGTTCCATGGTGGGGTTTCAATCACATGAGCCGTTTCATTGTGGGAGTCACGGAGCTCAAGTATCACGAAGTATATATACTAGTATTACGAAAACTTATATCAACAAGCGAACCAATCAATGGGCGGATGGTTTAGTGGTATAATACTCCCTTAGCATCGTGTCACTTTGTGGTCTGGTCTGGGAGTGGTCCGGGGTTCGATTCCCCGTCTGTCCATTTAAGGTGGTTAAAGCCCGCTATTATACCCTCATTTTTTTCATTTTTTTATTGAACGAAATCGCATCCTTTTTCCTCTTCTCTTCCCGCAGTTATTCTTTCTTTATTCTGCCATCCCTAGGTATGTCGGAACATTGACGAGCAAACACCTCTGATGTTGCGGCTCATGTACTCTGTTGCCCTGTCTCTTTTTAGTGTCCATCCACCACACATGATGCCCTCATTCTGGTAAAGCAGCTCCCGACCACCGGCCGCCACCCGACGATTTCAAGTCACTGGACACAGTCACGCTGGGTTGTCAACTTGGCGATATTGTCAGCCGAACCGTCTGTATCGCCAACTTTGGGCGAATCGATGTTTCACGTGCTGCGATAAGCTCATGGGGCGGGCATCCCGGAACTGAGACAGTCGCAGACTAGACGGCACCGAGTCCTCTCGGCGCGTCGGCGTCGCGTGATCCATCAGAGCACACCTACACACTTACCACCTACATACAGTCAGCGGTGTCGTACACATGTAGAAGATGCGGTGGTCAAGGAACCTAGTTTTTCCAAAACTCGAGCCGCGAATCCATGCGGCTCGAACCGCACGCCGCGGCCTCATCTACATCCAGCTGTCAAAAAGACGCCTCTTTCTGAACTGGTACGTATCCACGGCATCTAGTCGCACAGTACGGTAATTCTGGATCAGATCATGGAGCTCGCGTCTTGCTGGGAAAAGACGGCCACGGCCACAACTCTACGGCGTATGCCTTGGGGGCACTGCTTCGATTGAAAAGTTCAATCATCAATAGCCGGCGTGTCCGTGTCATTTATCCCTTGTTTATTTATTTTCGAATCCCCGCGCAGCACAATAGAGCCTCGTCAGCGAAGACGGTCATCTGGAGGGGAATTCTCTCACTTTGTGGTCCATCTTTCTCAAAAAGTCAAAGGAGATGGTTCGGCTCGACTGGCTTTTTTGAAGGATACAAAGCGCGTCGGGTGAGCCAATGTCTCATGATGAGAGCACCTGGACCTCCGCGGTGGCGCAACAATTCCAATAGGTCTCGCAGACGACTCGTTGCACGGGTCGAAGCTTACAAGTCGGGGATGTCTCGGGGGGGGGGGGAGTTCATTCCACGGGGAGAGTAAGTCTTTCTGTCTCCATGTCTTGATCTCGTTCGTGTCATATTGTCGTTGTGGTTCATGATATACGTGTCCGGCATTTTGGACTCTGTGAGCGCCTTGTAGGGTAGGCGGGCTGCTTTTTTTGCTCGTGTTTTGTGTGTGACCGGTCTAATTTTACCAGATAGTTGAAGTACCTGACTTAGTTTGGATCGAGCAATTTGGTTGCAAGCGACCACACGTACTAGACGGCTCGAGATGTTGGGTGTGGTGGCCGATGACTGAGCCGTGGCGTAGATCTCATAAGCATGAATGGGGGCAGTTTTGCCTCATGTTTCATGTTTTGGGATGATGTGTATACATATGTACGTTCATACATCAGGAGAAGCTGTCCAGGCGACGTCAATGGAGTCGCGTGAGGAAGCACGTGAAGGATGATAGACGCAGTCACGTAAGACTAGGGGGTGAGCATTGGGGATTCCGATCCAGATCTGGATCCAGGTTCAGATTCAAGGGCCGGGACATTTCTGCTGGTCACCTACAATGTGCTCTATCTCGGGCTTGGCTCGTGGTGATGAATCTCCGCAAAGGCGCCGCTCGCCAGCTGTAAGGCTCGGGGTGGTTCATCTTGGCCGGAAATTTGAGACACTTGGCTCGTTTGAGCCGAGGGAAGTTGATCCTCGACGTCCCATTGCATCCATGTTGCACTCCCGGGAACTTGTAAGTGCACGGAGATGGGATGGCCGCGCGGGATGACACAAGAAAAAGGAAACATATTTCCAACTTGGGGCAACGTGGTGCATTTTTTTGTTCCTTTTTTTTTGTCCCTCTTCTTTTCTTTTCCATGTCGTGTCGAAACAAATAAAACACAAGGCATGACGTCGGGAATGTCATTCCGCGGCCATGGATTCATGCGGTAAGAACATTAATTCTTGAGTTTCTTGATTCAAATGCAAAAAACAAAAAATAAAAATAAAAATAAAAATAAAATCGCACCCCCTGTTCCGTGTCCCGTGTTCTTTGTATTCCCTGGCGCTGGTCTTGGCGGTTCCCGACGCAGGGTAGGCAGCCTCGGCGGCGGGTCACGAAGTGGTGAGTGCAGAGTCAGTCACGTGCCAGGCCTGGGATCTTGCCCATCTCATTTGTCCCTGTCCCATCTTCAAATTGGAATCTTATTCTTCAGCATCACCAACCCCTGGATGGATTCCGCAGATTTAGTTGCGCCATGCAACGCCACCGGCGCCACTTGGCGGAAAGGACAACTTTTCTCCACGTATGATTTATTACATGTCACCTAAGTAAGGACCCTCCGTGCCCGCGTGGCGCTCGGCCAGGCTATCACGTTGAGCGGGTTTGCCCTGATGATGCTTGCATCGCTACTCACGGGAAGACAGGGGATGTCCATATGTATCTGTCGCAGTCACGCGACTACGAGTAAAAAGAAAACAACAACAAGAAGACAGGAAAGAAGGAAGAGAAAGAGAAATAAAGAACTCGAGCCTGCACAAGAGGATCTCGGGCACCACACGGCCCGGTTTGTTGAGGAGGAACAAGTGTCTATATTTTCCTCGTCAAAACGACCAAGCAAAGGATTTTTCGCCATTGCATCCTGGTGGCACGGCCCACGGCCGAAAGACGGGCAGATGGCTCGGCTCGGGTCCGTCTCTCTACTTGCCCTAGTGCCGACGCGCGGGGTCATGTGTTGGAAGCTCCTCCAATGCGAAATGAACATGGGCGAGCGAGGAGGTGTTTGTCCGTCTGTCTGCCTTTTCTGTCTGGAAGTCTGCAAAAATGTGGCTTGGATGCATGTCCCGTCTCGTCACGTTCCATGGATGGACACCACGACCAGTGGACACGTACGCGACCAACAGTCGATTGCTGTTCAGACGTGGAAAAAGAAATGCAACGTGGGCAATATAGGATGGGTTTTATTCCCATTCTGAGTCTGGCGCATTTCACGTGTTCTGAACTCCGGTCCGATGCGACGCGACGCTTGGCTTTTTTTTTTTTTGTTGGGACGAGTGCCAGAGAGGCACCGCGTGCTGCTGAGCTCAACGACCGCACATGACCGACTCCTTGTTTGAAAAGCGAGGGCCAACCGTCAAGCGTCATGGAGGGTTGCCCGACCTTGGTGGCCGATGTGATGCCTCATTTTTCAGTGCAATGTAGTGTGTCGATGGATGCCAGATTCTTGTTCATTTCAATCATGGGGCAGACACTGGTATTTATTGTGCATGAATTGTGCATATTTTTGCATCAACTGTCCACTTGTGCTTGTATTTTGTATGTAATTGTCCCTCCCCCCCCTTTTGCTCTTGGCACCTGCCGGTCAGGCCTTGTGGCCTGTGACTCGGCCAGCCGGGCAGAAGCCGTCAAAAAATAAATAAATAAATAAATAATCAAATAAAAAACCAAACCCAGCCAGGCTAAATAGTTTCCCGTTCATCTGTCAGTCGTCTCTCTCCAACAGGTCCCTCCCTCCTGAGTTCACGGTGCTCATTGTCAGCGTAGATGCACGACACACACGCAAATGTTTGGTCTTTTGGCAAGCCTGAAAGAGAAAAATCATATGGGCTTCTGTTAGGGATCACCGGTGACAGCCTCGATTGATTTCCACCAGATGCAAGGTTCTCACCCCCCCCCCCCCTTCTTCTCTCCCCCCCCTTGTCTCTTCTCCCCCCCTTGTCTCCTCCCTGGCTCACAGCCCATGCTCAGGCACCAAGAACCCCACGACTGCATGATCGATGTTCCCCCATTTGACAGGCGGAGAAGGAGAGCGGCGGGCCGAAAAGCAAAGACGGGGGATCACGTACATAATAGGAAAGTGAAAGATTTGGCGTGGCGTGTTTCCTTTGTCTTGCGTTTTCATTCTCGCCTTTCTTTGCGTATCGGTTTCTTTTATTACTATCATAATATTATTATAACTATAATATTTATTCATTATTACTCATGATTGTTTTTTTTTTCGTCTGTTAAAACAGCACTAGATGATAATTAACCACCAGTATATACATGGCGCGGAAAAAAAGCCACTTCTTCTTCACACCCCCCCCCCCCCCCCCCCCCCCCCCCCCCAATCTGGTGGCGTCTGGCGATGAATTGGTCATGGTAGGCTTCTGTTCTGTCTTATTTTGTATTTTGCCCAAGTCATGCTGGTGCTTACTCTATTCCCTCCCGTGTTTCAACTCTATTTAACGTGAATGCTACGCCGACGTAGGAAGGGTCCAACGCAACTAATTCATCTTCATCTGATACAATCCAACGTTACAACGACCGGAAATAAAATCAATTCATATATGAAATTGTACTTTTTATAGCAAAAAAAAAAAAAAAAAAAAAAAAAAAAGAAACACAAAACCTCCACGTGTACCGTACCTTTTCTCGATTCGGTCCTTTGCATACCTACACGTGCATCAGTTCCTGCAGGCAAAAGGGTTGCATCTTGCCTGTCCATTCAAACAACGACCTGACTTTCATCCAATAACCCTCTTTTCGTCACCTTCTCCGTCTTAACCTGGCCGCGCTATCGAAAAGTTCGCCTCACTCTCTCTCTTTTTCTTCTATTTTCTTTGGGAACGCCTTCTTTCTTTCTCCCGCCAGACTGTTTTTCGAACACGAAAAAGATGAATTAGCAAAAGAATACTAGGTAAGACTACCCCGGAAATAAGATGTCAATCTTCCAACATTAAAAGGGCCGGATTCAAGCCCCCCCCCCCCCCCCCCCCCCCCCACAACCGACATTGAAGTTACATGCAAACATCAAGATAACGAGCACGGTTGTATATTCCTGTCGGGAAAAAAGGCACCACAGATTCTGAAATCCGCAGTCTTGAAGTCCCCGACGCGTACTACGCTGGTGCACCAATCATAACTGATGGGGATGCCGTTCTTCTTCTT